AACCCCAGCCAGGTGTATGTCTAGCCCCCTCTTAAACACCGCCAAGGTAGGGGAGAGCACCACCTCCCTTGGAAGCCCATTCCAAATTTTGGCAACCCTTACCGTAAAGAAGTTCTTCCTGATGCCTGACCTGTATCTGCTTTCTGTCAGTTTGTGGCCATTGTTCCTAGTTACTCCAAGGGGTGCCCTGGTAAACAGCATCTCCTATTCCTTGCTGTCTCCCCACAATGAATTTGTAGGCAGTCACAAGATCACCCCTCAGCCTTCTCTTGCAGAGGCTGAAGAGATCCCGAGCCCTCAATCTCTCCTCATAGGGTTTTGCCTGCAGACCCTTACCCATATGAGTAGCCCTCCTCTGAAACCCCTTGAGGTTGTCCCATATCCCTCTTGAAGTGCGGTGCCCAAAACTGGACACAGTACTTCAACTGCAGCCTGACCAATGCCGCATAAAGGGGAAGTACTACCTCTTTGGACCTCTTTGTCATGGACCTGCTACTGCATGATAAAGTGCGGTTAGCTTTACTGATCACTTAGTTACATTGACAACTCATGTTCATCTTGGAGTCAACAGTGACTCCAAGATCCATTTCTACTCCTGTGCTGCTGAGAAGGTCCTCCCTCAGCCTTTAAGAAGGAATCACCAGCATGCTTCCTAGGCAGCACCTTGCATTTGTCCTTATTGAACTGCATCCTTTTCTGTTCCGCCCATTTTTCCAACCTGTCCAGATCCACCTGGATTCATTCCCTACCCTCTGGTGTGTTAACTTTATCCTAGAATTTGGTATCATCTGCGAATTTGGACAGGGTGCTTTCCACGCCCTCATCCAAGTCACTAATGAAGACATTGAACAGCACCGGTCCAAGGACTGGGCCTTGTGGGACTCTACTGCCCACATCTTTTCAGGTCGATATCGACCATGGGCGACTGGTGCCTCCTGAGTCAGGGGGAGCACTTGCCCCTCCAGCAGATAGTCAGTGACCGTGGCCAGTCCTTCTGACTGGGGGGAAGGGGGTTACCCTGTGGCCAATCCCGCCGACTTGCAAGTGGCAGCGGTGCACTGCTGGAACTTCCAGACACGCCGCTGGCACTTCTGGGTTGGAGGGATCGGCTGTGGGGGGACTGCTTCTCTTGGCGTAATCCCTGGCTGGCGCTCTCAGGGGGGGCACCAGCACTCTCACCTGCCCCCCCTGCCCAGGAGCACTACAGTCAGGGGGTGCACCCCCGTGCACCCTCTACACATTGCCACTGATACCGGCCCATCCAACACCATTCTCTGGGTGTGACCCCTAAGCCAATTTGCCACCCTGTATTAGGTGTGCTAAGATGGATGCTCCAAAATTGGAAATCCTTTCCCCCAACAATTTGGAATATTTTAGATGAAGTCTTCTGAAGCTTCTGTGTAAACAAAACGGCACTATTATTTCTTAAATCTTTCCATATTGAATGTAGTACTGTTAAGCAACTCTTCTTAAACTAATCATGTTTGACTATTTTGTTACTGGTTTATAATGCTCACTATTGATGGGTCAAATTATTGTGTAAATCATATTTGATTAAATGCTCGGTAAGCTGTCATCAGCTCCATTTTCACATGCCAGTCCATCAGCCAGATGAGGATTGCCGAAATATAAGGATAATTCCAAGAAAAAAACCCAGTGCCAGGAGTTCCCATATTTGACAGGGTCACTGGGAGGGAGAGGAGGAGGGGATATTTCTCTTAAGTGTAGATTCAGTCAGGACTGGACCAGGAAAAGGAATTTCTCCAGGAAGTCTTTGAATTTGGAGCTTCATTGGGGAAGGTCTGACTTCATCCCTTAAAGTCAGATCCTACGCTATTGGAATCCAGGGAAGCTTTGCCATTTGCTTTGCTGACAGCAGGATCAGTCTGGTACCATCTGCCTTCTGAGCTTGTTTACAGTCCTGTCTCTTTTGGATAGCTCAGTTTTACATGTTTTCTGCCTGTCTATCTCTCATTTTTTCCTGCCTTTGGTTTCCTGTCTTCCCACTTTGTCCCAGTGTTCATTGGGTGGTTTGTTCGCTACTTGCTAGATTTGCCAGCATGCCAACTTGCTTTGACGTTTCCTAGTCATGTATCTAGACTCATCTGGCTTCCCTTTTAGATTTTTTAAAAGGTACTGGTAGGTGGATTTGGGGTAGTAATTTGATGCTTTGCAGATAGGTGCTTTATACTTTTATTTAAACAACAGAACACACTGGAATGCCCCCAGTCCTCACTACTTGTAATAGGCAACAACAGTGATTTCGGATGTTTCTGCATTTTGCATTTAACAATCATTGGATAAAACGGATACATCACAATGGAGTTGCTTCTGCTTCATTAGGGGCGGGGGCCAGAAAGCAGGGCCCCTCCCTTCCAGGGCTGTGCCCATCTCACTGCCTCATATTTCCTCTGGCTTCATCTTTTCTTGATCCCTTTTGAAGCAGTGGGTCAGCTGCAGTGAAGGTTGGAGGGTGCTCTGACTGATGCCTAGCCCATGGCCTGGCAGCTAGAGGATTGTTCTGGGCATGGGCGACTGGTGCTACCTTAGTCACTGGGGGCACATGCCCCCCCAGCAACCAGTCGGCGACCAGGGGGGCGCTCCCACTCCCTGGCTGGTACTCACGGGGGGGCACCGGTGCTCCTGCCTGCCCCCCCTGCCCATCACCTAAATGACGAGCACGGCCTGTCAGGGGGTGCACCGGCACATTCAGGGGGTGCACATGCACCCCCTAGCACCCCCTATGCATCGGTACTGGTTCTGGGGAAATGGAAGATGTAGCTTTAAGTCTGTCTAGCTAAGAGAGGCCTAAAATCCTGTTCTCCCACTTCCTCAGCTAGTGTGCCAGCCATTAGTCTATTGGGTCAAAAGGTGTAAGGTTTCTCTTCCATTTTGTGACTTATGCAGATCTATGCACCTTCCCGAGGGGAATAAGATCTAAAATCCATGCAAGTGGCCCAAAATGCTACTTGTCTATAGCTGGGGTTGGATTTTGGGCCTAAGTGAATACATCTAGCACTGCTAAAAAAGCCTAAAGGAGGTAAGCACCCAAATCACTTTGAAATTTAGTAGGAGCTTGGCAGGAAGATGCCTGCCTCCATTTCCTACCTGGAAGCTGAAGCAAAGTCATGCTTTGTGGGTCAGGACGTATTATTGACATAAAGCACCGGCTACATAGGCATGTTCCAAGGTTCTCCGCATCCCGGTTAACTCGTATGTAGAAATGCACATGGCAGTGCTAATCTGTTTGCTTGTACCACAAAAACCAACGTAATTTTAGCAAGTTAATTACAACAATTATCTTCTATTATTCTACAGAAATCCTGGGCTGAAATAGTAAGACATTTGCAAGTCTGGGTAAGCTTTGTTTGTAAAGCAGTGCAGAGAACACTTCCCTCACTTGCAATATGCATGGCTTTAATTGGTAACATTAGTTTGCCAATTTCCCGAGCATTAAACCCATGCATTAAAAGGAGCGAGAGAAAAAGCAAGGGACTTTTTTCCCCCTTCTCTCTTGAACTGGTGGCTGCTTCAGTGCTAATATGAATGCTGAAAGGGATTTATCAGCGTAAAGGTTCCCTGCTGAATTCTTCTTCAGCTTTCCTAGATGTTTCTGTCATTAGGGCATGGCTGATATTCAGTATGCAAAAGGGTTGTTAAAAGATCAAAGCAGCACTGCCCTGATAAGGTGGAAAATGTGGGGACTCTATAACACGGAGGAATGAGCTTTCAAGTTCGATTAAAAATACCCATTTAGAGATGAGCTAGGAGCTCTGAAGTATACGAAGTGGAAAAAAATGATCAGTGGGGGCAATAACTCTTGGACTTTTTCAGGATGTTTTGTGGTTCAAGATCTAAGAGGCTGGCCAAAGAGGCCTATGATTACATCAAGCTACAATATGATCTCAAATAAACCTCTATGTTTCATAAAATTGCCGCAATTCTTTCTCGTGCTTATGCTAGAAGTGATTTTGGAAAACATCACTTCTAACCTTGTGCAGATGAGGCCATGATGTGAGATGCATTTGTTAACAGCCTGTATTCTCTTGTGGCTTTTGAGCACTCCTGGGTTTCCAAGGCCCTGTTAAACTGTAATATACTTTTATTCATTGTTGATTATTGGAGCACACAGCCAGATCCTCAGCTGGAGTAAGCTGATGGCACTCCACTCGGGAACAAGGGAACAGAGATGATTTACAGCAGCTAAAGCTCTAAGTAGGCTGTCGTCTATGAAAGTTTATGCCTCTCTGAACCGGTTAGTCTGATGCTCCTTGGCCCTGCCTTTTGACTGTCTTCAGACTAACACGGCTGACTACCTCTCCCTGAAGCTCTCCCTTGGGATAAAAAGTAGTGTCCTCCACTAGCCAACCTTTTTATTTGTTTGATTCATGAAGTGATATTGTGATATGCCTGGGATATCCGCTGAGGTGAGGTGACCGTGACGGCACAAGTACTATATATTGCGGTGTCCTTGAATGCATCAAGCAGCCAAAGACTAAGGAATCTGTGTATATGTAAAACCTATTGTGTTATGTGCAGGGGTCCTGGTTTTCTCTGATTAACAAAGAATCCCCAATTTTGAGATTAAAAAAAAAGTACCCCAAATCCACATTTTTCTGTGATTTTAAAATGAAACACCACTAATATTTAGCTATAGATATAGTGGTGTTTCATTTTGATCGCGGAAAAATGTGGATTCGGGGGTTACTTTTTTACTCCAAAAATTGGGGATTTTTTTTTTATCAGAGAAAACCAGGATGCCTGATTATGTGGCACTAATGTATTCAACTTATTTAAAATGCTTATCCCCTGATAGCGTTGTGGGGTAAAAGTCTTGTTTTTCTGAGCATCCCAGTGAACAGCAGGCCAGAAAACCTGTCAGCACACAGTGTGTTAGTGTCGCACAAACTGGGGCCTGATTATATATGCTGTTCATGTACTGGTATATCTTTCCATTAGTTATACTGGTACAACCCTTAGCATGGCTACAGAAGTACTGGCACAAACATGCTTCTTACTGGCATAGCTAATTCTCTTCCCATACTGGAAGAAGCTGTGCTTGGATGAATAGATGTATATTCATACAGATGCTTCTGTGCTGGGGGATGTTACACCATTATAGTTAATACAACTTTTGTATGTAGTCAGTGCTTTAATAATATAGGAGCCTGCATTAATTCTAACCACACCAGTATGGCTAGTATAGTTAACTTAGCAAAACCTTCCTCAGTATAGACTTCAGGATATCAGTCTAAAGTGATGAGGAAACTGGTCTAGGTATTTTGATACTGACAAAACTGAGTCCACTGTAGGGCTTTACTGACAAAATATCCCCACCTCCCCAAACATAGCTCCAGCAATACAACTTTTAAGTGCTGAGCAGGTGTCAGTATACAGTGAACAGACAGCACTGTGCAGTTTCAACTTCTTTTTTATGCTGTGAATATAGAAGATATAAATGGGAGACTGACAGGATTTGTTTAAAGTTCCCCTCTGGACTTTCAAATACCATGTGATGTACAGCCAACCTGCTGTAAGCTGGCATTTTCATTGTGGTGCAGAGATAAAGTGGAGCACCTGCTGGAAAGACTCAATGCTACAGAGACCTCTGTTGGCTGTTGTGCTCCATAGCTAACTTAGGGAACTTTTTGGTCACTAAAAAATCCTTTCGTCTCAAGGGAAAGCCTTTTGTCTCAGTAGACACAACTGAATGAGTCCTATTTCTATGGGCTTGAGACAGGTCCCTATGGAAAGCTGCAGCTCAGTTATAGTCCCAGTGCCTTTCACTGAATGAAGATGAGATAGGCACCAGCTTCCAGATAAAAAGGAGCGTGGAAGTGGCATGGTTCGAGAGTGGTAGTCAGTAACATTTTCAGGGGGTGGGGCTAGAATGGGTTGGTCCACGGTGGGATAGCACCAGGACCCAGCCACTTCCACCAGCTCTCCCTGATGCTGCTTCTCCCCACCTCCTGGCCATGGCATGGGTGAAGCACCCTGCCACCAAAGTCCCAATGCCAAACACCACTGAAGTCCTTTGCTGCTTACCAAATGCCGCCAACCCCCCTGCTTTGAATTCAGTGGCTTTGCAGGCCACATCCAGCTGGCAGGCCATAGGGTGCTGCCCTCTGCTCTGGATAAACAAATAACTGATGGCCATGACAGTAAATATCATTGTTTGCTTGTTTGTTCCCTCTCTGACACTAGGTTTCGTGCCACCGTGTACCCCTGTCCAGAATCTGCTACTGAGCGTCGAGAAATGGTTGATGGTGTGAACACAAGGATTGAAGATTTAAACACAGTGAGTGGCATAGACCCCAAACCTGTAGCTGCTTGCATGGAGAGAGACTGATTCTTTGTGCCCATATGGAGTCCCAGTGGCTTCCTCAGGTTCTACGGGGGTGCAAGGCTCTGGCCATTAGGCCTGTGCAAAGCAGCTAGTATTCACTTTGGATTTGGCTGATTTGGGGCATAGTGATTTGATTCAGTGATTCGAATCACTGTCCCAAATTGATTCGGCCAAATCTGAGTCGGAGATTCGGCTACTGCTGAATCTCTGAATTGAACAGACCCCATCCCCCGCCAGCTCTCCCAGTCTTGTCAATGGCTGTCCCATCTGGCCCCAGTGTTCTGGCACTTAAAAAGCCTCGCACTCACTGGCTCCTGCCAGGCAGGGGGGGCGATCCCCACTGCCCCCTGCTGCCCCACACTGCATGGGGGTGCTCTGCCCCAAGCCCCCAGAGGCCCTGACAAGCCACTGCAGCAGTCAGGGAGTACAAGAGTACAAGGCTTTTTTTTTTTTTTTTTGGTAAAGTGCCTGGACATTGGGACCAGGTGGGGCAGGCATTGACGGGGCTGGGAGAGGAGGTGGGGATTGGGGGGTGCTCAGGGGGGCTGCAGGAGCAGGCAGGGGATGCGGCCTGGTGGAGGCCCCCCATGGTCCCTTTTCCCCTCCTCGAGCCCCTCCCCCTACCCCCTACTCACTGGCATAGAGCCCAGATCCAGCTCCCTGCAGCGGCGAGTTGGGACTGCCCGAATCTCCAAACCTTCTCTGACTCTTTTCCGAATTGATACAGAGGCTTTGAATCAATTCGGGCCTTTTAATTGGTCTCCCAATTTGATTCAGATTTGAAGATTCAGCCGCTGAATCAGACCGAATCTCCTCTGAATCAAATCAGGAACTGAAGCTTTGCACAGCCCTACTGGCCATGCAGAGTTAATTGCAGCATGGAGGCCATGGTGATTTAAGAAAGATTTTACCTATAATGAATCAGGGGTAGGAGCTCCTGTTTATGCACAGGATTTTAGTTATGCATTTCCCACTGAGTCAGTGATTCTTAAGCAGGGTGTTGCAAGATACTTTGAAGGGTGTTTCTAAGTGTGAGGGGAGGTGTGAAGAGATAAATGCAGACTCAGGTTTGCCCTTCCCTAGCCATTTCCTTGCCCCTACTGCCTGGTCCCTCTTCAAGGAGGGTAAGCAGTGTAATAAATTAGTTTTTGAAATGGGCTGCCTCTTAATTCACAAAAGTTATGAGGGGTGCCTTCAGTCTAATGGGTTGTGCCTTGAGTCTAAAAAGGTTGAGAACCACTTCAGTAGATTTACAGAGTGATCTGTGAGATAAGATTGGAGAAATTGGGGTTATTCAGTCTAGTGAAGAGAAGACTAAAGGAGAATGGCAGTTAATTGTCTGTGAACGGAATGGATAAGACAAAAAGCAGTCTAATTAAATTGCAACAAAGGAAATTTAGGTTGAATACTTGGAAATTGTTTTACCCATGAGAGTGGTCAGGCAGTGGATGAGAGCAGTAGCATAGCTAGGGGTGGTTGAGCGGGGCACCAGCCCCAGCTGCCAGGTTCGGATGCGGTTGTGGGGGAACAAACTATTGATATCCCCTGTCACAAGCAACCCACTTCTGCTGGCTGCTGCTGCTACCTGGAGTGGAAAACCTCCTGGTTATGCCTCCACCACTGAGCTTGTAAAATATGTCTCTGGAACTTTTTAAGTGAAGGTTAGACAAGTACTTATCTGGGATGGTTTAGAGCACTGATTCTCAATCAGGCTGTCATGGCACCCTGAGCACAATAATATCCTTTTAAGAGGGACATGGAGTGATGCTCAGTATCAGCACTGTTAGGTCTGCAAACACCTATACATGATCCACAAGATAAACCCATAGACTTCAAATCAGAATCCATGGTGTCAGAAACATTCTGACGTGTTGTGGGCTTTATGAGTTCTTTTCAGTTGAAGAAACATGCTCTTATTTGCTTGTAGTCAAGAAATGATTGAAAGCTCAGAGCTGACATTTTCTGAGGGGTGCTTCAAGTCTAACAAGGGGCACTTTAAGTCTATAAGGGCATGCTTTGAGTCTAAAAAGGTTGAGAAACACTGGTTTAGACACAAATAATACTGCTTTTAGCAGGGGATTGAACTAAATGACCTGTCAAAGACCATTCCAGCCCCATGATTCTATTAAATAAAATCTAGGCATTAAGGTGCAGGCAGTGGAAGGTGAACAAAATATAATAGAGTACTAGGACTTGTTCAGAATTTTCTCTTGATTGCAATGTGATTTACACTCCTGCCTCTGTTATCTAGAGAATATACCACAGGGTAATACATGTGGTCTAAAGTTTTTATCACCCGCATGAGGAATAGCCACATACTACTCAGTTATGCAAACCACCCAAGACAATACAATAATATTATGCAAGAGATTGTATTCACCTCAGGGACAGAGGGAAGAAGTTCTTCTCTATGAGAATCACCGACTTGCTGAGGAGGGCTTTAAACTAGGCATGTCTGGGGGAGGGAGGGTGGATTCCACTGCTGTATACGAATCCTCTGGCCAAGATGACTCAGGGGAGGGCATTCACATAGGAAACATCCAGATGCGTACCAAATCCCTGAGACACTTGCAGAGTGACAGAAAACCTGAGGCGACTAAGGGTGAACTTGGGTGTCTTTATGGGAACGGCAGAAGCATGGGCAATAAACAGGATGAACTGGCACTCCTTCTGGCAGACAAGGAATTTGACCTCATTAGGTTGACAGAGACCTGGTGGGATGATACATCTGATTGGGCAGTGAATATTGAAGGCTATAGGCTCTATAAGAAGGATCGGGTAGGGAAGACGGGAGGAGAGGTGGCCGTCTATGTGAAAGAGCAGTACCCCTCCCTTCAGTTCACATTTAATTGTAGGGAGAGGTCCCTTAAGACCCTCTGGGTTAAGATACAAGGGGGTCAAGGAGAAGGGGACCTGATGATGGGAGTCTACTAGAGACCTCCCTACCAAGAAGAGGAGAGCGATCATGCATTCTTCAGGGAACTGACTGAGGCAGCCATCCCTAAAGACCTGATTGTCATGGGTGACTTCAACTACTCTGACATCTGTTGGGAAGACCATTCAGCCAGCTCCAGCAGATCAACCAACTTCTTGGCAGCTATTGATGACCTGTTCTTGACACAGGCAGTAGAAGGACTGACTAGGGGGAAAGCCACTCTGGACTTAGTGGTAACCAAAGGGAAAGACATGGTAGGTGACCTGAAGATTGGAGGTACTCTGGATGACAGCAACCATGATCTGATTAGGTTCACCATCCACCAAAAGGCTGGGAATTCTGTCAGTAGAACAGAAGTTCTAGACTTCAGAAGGGCAGACTTTGGTAAACTCAGGAGTCTAGTTGGAAAGGCCCTTCGCGACCAGCAACTTTACAATTTGGGAGTTCAGGCACGGTGGTGCTTCCTTAAGGGGACAATTCTCACTGCTCAAAAAGAGGCCATCCCCACATGGTCAAAAAGAGGGAAAGGGGCCAAAAGATCTGCTTGGCTCAACAGGGACATTAGGGAACTTTTGAAAAAGAAAAAAGAAACATATATGCAATGGAAAAATGGTTCAGCATCCAGAGAGGACTACACTCGTATGGCCAGAGTCTGTAGGTATGAGACATGGAAAGCCAAAGCATGCATGGATATCAAGCTGGCAACTGAAATAAAGGACAACATAAAGTCCTTCTAGGGAGCAAGAAAAAATCAAGCTCCACTGTGGGATCCCTACTGAATGCTGAGGGGCAGCCCACAGTTGATCCCCACAAAAAGGCAGAGCTTCTAAATAATTACTTTGCATTGGTATTCCTAAAATCAGATGGGAACTGGTCACCTATCCAGAGGCCCAGGGAATACAGCAACAACAACAGTCCACATGAAAAACATCACGAACAGGTGAGGGTAGTCTTAGAACATTTGGATGTTTTCAAGTCAGCGGGACCAGGTGACCTGCATCTGACAGTCCTAAAAGAACTGGCTGAGCTCATAGTGGGGTCTCTGGCAAAGCTGTTCAAAGAGTTGTGGAACTCAGGAATGGTCCCAAATGGCTGGAAGAGGGCTAACATGGTACCCATCTTTAAGAAAGGGAAGAGGGATGACCAAGCAAGCTATAGACCAGTCAGTCTGACTTCTGTCCTGGGAAAAATCTTTGAAAAAATTGTCAAGGAGGCCATCAACCACATGCTTACAACTGGTGGGATAGTAAGAAGCAACCAGCATGACTTTGTTGAGGGTAGGTCATGCCTAACAAACCTGGTGTCCTTTTATGACCAGGTAACTAACCAGCTGGACAAAGGACATGAGGTTGACAACATTTACCTAGACTTCAGCAAGGCCTTTGATACTGTTTCCCATGAGATTCTCTCAATTAAGCTGGAGGGTACTGGCCTAGACCAGTCTACAGTGAAGTGGCTTGGCAACTGGCTCAGAGGCCGATCCCAGAGAGTTGTAATTGATGGGATGGCATCATCCTGGAGGGCTGTATCCAATGGTATTCCCCAGGGACCAGTACTTGGGCCTGTGCTCTTTAACATCTTTATCAATGACTTGGATGAGGGAGTGGAAAGCGCAATGATTAAGTTTGCGGATTACACCATTGTGGGGGACAAGCTGTGGGGTAGTGTGGGCGCATCTGAGGGAGAGGGTAAGGATCTAGGATGACCTTGACAGACTGGTCTTATGGGCTGAATGCAATCAGATGAGGTTCAATAGTGCCGGGCCCTTCATTTGGGTAGGAAGAACCTTCAGCTTAATTTATATGATGAGTGGTGGTCCACTGGCTGACACTGCATCTGAAAGTGACCTGGGGGTGACAATCAACCAGAAGATGAATATGAGTCTACAATGCAATGAAGTCACCAGCAAGGCAAATAGAATTCTGGTGTGCATCAGCCAATGTGTTGCGAATAGATCCAGAGTGGTGCTCCTCCCCTTCTATACAGCATTGGTGAGGCCACAGCTGGAGTACTGTGT